TTTTTTTTTTTTTTTTTTTTTTTTTTTTTTTTTGATTTTTAAAGAATTAACCCCTCACCATTTCAGGTAGTCCCAAAATTAAATTTGCAGGACCCTTTTGATCCCTTCATTTGTTTATTATTATAGGAGAACCTAACGTTTCTGATTTAGGAAAACCCCTTTACGATAATTTGATTACTTACATAGCTTTAATAACTCGAATTCATTTGCCTTGAAATACTTGTCTAATGTGTATATGTGTGTGTGTGTATGTATGTATGCATATATGTATGTATGAATGTATGTATGTATATATGTATATACACACATATATATATACATACACCCACACATATATATATACATAGCAGTAAACTTAGAACACACAAAATGATCGAAATATCCGTAACACTCAAATGCTAAGAGTCATGAAAAATCAAATCCCAGAAGATCAAGAAAATCTCGTACTAATATTTGAAATGCATCGGCACTTGAGAGAGATTGACGTTTAACTTTATACACGTTACGCGTAACGTTACGGCAAGATCTGTTATTCGCTTAACAGCAGACTCTAGAAAGAAAAAAAAAAACAAAAAAACAAAAAAAAAGGAAAGAAAGAAAAAGTAAAAAAAAAAAGAACGGAAAAGAAAACTTTAGTCTCGTAGTTGAACAAGACCGAAGGTCTGAGGGCGTTATAATATATATTTCAGAACGTCAGAAAAAAAATATTGTGCAATGAATAGTAAACACTCTTTTTCCCATCGGTATGGTTATCAGTCCATTCAGGTACCTTTGACGTTGAAAACATACACATACACATACACACACACGCGCGCTTGCTCGCTCGCGCGCGCGCGCGCGCGCGGGATCACATTCGCTTGCACACACAGGCATGTACGCATAACCTTTCATGACACGCGCGTGCGCGCGCACGCAACGGAGGGGCAGAGGGAATGAAACTCGTGTTTACCCCTCTTCTATAATCGAACCTCCTCCCAATGGTCCAATTGAAAGTTCAAATTATCATCAACGTCTGTCTTTGTTCTATCGAATTTTCGAGGTTAATTTCTCAGAAGCGAGATATACAGTGACGTATAAAGATATCGATCATCTTCGATTACGAATAACGGAAAACATTTGTTGTAAACGAAACAAACGCAGCCCGGTAAAATTATTTCTAAATTTAAATGCAATGTTTGTATCATATGTACTGAGAATTAATCTTATATTTACATCATTTTTCTGTTATCATATATATAGTTACGTATAACATTGAAGATAAATTAAACAAAAAAGAAAATACATAATAAAGAGGGAAGTTAAAAGAGGCTAAAAAACAAACAAGTAAACAAAAAAGAAACATTACGATGCATGTTCTATTATTTTTTTTTTGTTTAGAACCAACATCTCAACAGCATTCTTTCCCACCGAATATCTATCCGGTACAGTAAGACTCATTAATTCGATACAGCGATTCGATACAGTCCGACATGTTCAGTGTTTCAGCTTTACCTTTCGTACAGCAAACCGTTAACTAGCAGTAGAAGGGAGAGCTCAGCGTTGTAACTGTAACACGATTTACGATCGCATACAAACGCAAAGTTAGAACTAGCATAACCTGTACACAAAGTTTCAACTTCCTCCTAATCGGAGTAGTAATAGGTTATGAAATCGGTAATATTTAAATTGTTCTATCCCTTTGGATTCACGCCATATCCGATCGTTTATAAATCCTTCTTTAACCTTACATTGCAATCTTTCCTTTGTCGATTCGAAAATATGACTTTAGGTGAAGCTAAATTGCCGAATTGTATACACAACAAATTTCCTTCTAGAAATTATTTAATATCCACTTGTCTTTTATGTGATCTCAAATGTTACAGATAAAACCAACAGAAAATTGGCAAAAACGAAACCCTACAGATTAGTCAATGCCTCCTTTCTTGTACAAAATTGCTTTTATCAATGCATGAAAGAAAAAGGAAAGTATAGAATAGCATAAAATAAAATTAAATAAATTAAAATAAAATAAAATGGAAATAAATAAAAATTGAAGTTCTTACATCTTTTGTTTTATCCCGATAAAGGTAAGGTTCAATAGATATTTAAAATTTTCGTCATAAAAATAGGTTATGTCCAGCAACTAACGTTACCTCATAATACTTAAATATTATTCGATTCCGATTATTTCAAACTAGCTGATAATACATTCTACTGCTATAATATATTTTACAAGTTTTTTTGAAGAATTAATTTAAAAAAGTAAACGAATTTAATTATGAAATAGGTTAATATAAACAATTTGACCTTCGAAAAATAAACATAAATATAATGCATGTACATAAAATAAACTCGACTTATAAATAAAACCTTTTATAAGAATATCCACGCTACCCTCATATTCTACATTAAATTATCATTTCAGTTCCCCATAATCGTCATCGTGATAGAGAGCATTATTATTTGACTCGAGTCAAGTTATGGCCCAACTTGAATTCACTTTACATCATTTTCTTAGCGACATAAAATTATTTAAAAAATTTGAATTTTCATGTAATGTAAGCCACGTTTAACTATCGATTAATCCAAAGAATAAAATATCGATTTAAAAGATTGTTAGCATAAATCAAGTTCAAAATATCCAAGATATCATTTGTGTATACGAATAATGAAATTTACTTACAGTCGTAATTAATGAGTCTCTACTATACAATGTAGAGTACCACGTACGCTACTAATAATAGATTAATATCATTACAATTTGTTTTCCTATGCCTTTCAGTCAATGTCATTAAATATTATTTAGCACTTAAAATATTTTCTATTTTATACATGTAATAACTGGAAATACTAATATACAGTATATGTTACTGCACTAAAATCACGCATAAATATTACAGTATTTTATAGAATTGAAACTGAAGCGGATAAGAGCAATACGTGTTTACATGTGATTCGAAAAGTACTGATCATTGTAAAATTACCAACTACATGAAAGAAAATCGACATTCTTAAAATAAAAATTTTCCGTCACTGTATAATTGGAAAGACCCTTCCGCTCGAAAATTCGAAACTATATTTTGAAAGAGAAAACTTTTACTCAGGATTTCAACTTGAAATTTCACATCTCTATGAATCTTTAAATGCTTTTTCATTTCTTAATATTAACCAATGGGAAGTGGCATATACTTTTTCTCCAGTATCATTCATTTTGCAGAGGGGGGAGAGAGAAAGAGAAAGAGAAAAAGAGAGAGAGAATGAGAGAGAGAGAGAGAGAGAGAGAGAGAGAGAAAAGAGAGAGAAAGATAGGAGAGACAGAGACAAAGACACACACAGATAGGCAGACAACAGACAAAGATAGCTAGAGAAAAAACATCGAATTACCATATTCGTTATAACTCTATAATTAGTAAATGGTAAAGAGACACGCTGGACATTGGCACGACGGGTGGCATTTAGATTTAATATAGAATAAAATTTACGTTATTGCGATAACATTTGGTATCGTTTTTGTTGTCGTCGCAAGAACTCGGACCCCGATTTATCCATCCCTTTAGAAGTTTCTGGGCGTTTTACGATAGAGAATCGATTTTTAGTTACAATAACGATCTTCGAATATTTCACAGAAGATCAAGACAATCTGCCGATACACCTCAACGATAATGTAGTGGTATACTCTGAATCAACAATCACGAACCGATTCGCATTTTCGATTATTTAAGTCAATTTTATTACAACATCGTCCATTTAATCGTAATCTGCTAATTGGAATAACAATATACAAATAAAAGCAATTACCACTATCCGTATTACTATCGTTAATCCTGCAGCAACGATCACCAAATTTTCCACTTTAGCCATCGTTGCGTGCGAAGGAAAAAATTCACTAAAAATTCGATTCTATATCACCGTTGCTAATGGAAGAGGTATATATAGCCCAAAGCATCGACGCGGATCCTCGCTTATTAGTTTCTTTCAGAGGTAACATTCCTCCTCTCTTTTTTTTTCTTTTTTATTTTTCTTTCATTCATATCTTATTCATTCTTCCTGCTTTTTTTTTGTTTTGATTAGATTGGTACAGTCTACGTTTGATACGCATGGCAGTCTCGATTAAAGGAAACTGTTCAGAGCAAAAAAGTGGAACACTCGTGAGACCATTGATCATAATTTACTTTCTTACACGCGCATTCTTAAGAAAGTGTTGGCGACGCCATTATCTAGAATCAGCCGATGTATCATTTTTTCAAAGCTAATGGCTGTGGTGTATGCGCGTACCCTTTTAACTTTTCTAATATTTGTGCTCCAATTTTCAAAATGATGCAAAAGGAGCTGAAAATTTATCCTATTTTTATGAAATGACCTGCATATCGATGCTTTAATATAAATTATATTCGTGCGCACATTTTCGTGTTAGAAATTCTTTTGATCGAAATCAAATTCTATTGACGTCGATATATGAGACAATACCGAGAAAATGAAGTCGAATAAATAATCGTCATTATTGGCAAGTATAAGAACGGCACGTTTTTTGTAATTATAAAAATTGAAAGGACAAAAATGGCATTATTCCATTAGATACCAATAATGTATCGACATATTACATTCGGAATTCAATTTTTTGTAACGTATTATATATCATGCATATGACGTATTTACTGTACCATGCGCAATATTAGAAATATTAAAACATCGACGAATGTTGGATAGCAAAGATTAAACTTAAATACCTTGAACATAGTAATAATACATTGTTCTGAATAAACAGAATATCAGAGTGAAACGTATGTAAATGAGAACGCGACCTGAATGGGAAGAATACTAATTCAGTAATTGAAACATCATAAAACGCGTCTATCAAACATGCTGCGCACTGTGTACACACATACGCGCATATTATCGGGTGAAATTAATATTATTCTAAAATACCAAAATACCAAAATACGAAAATGAACTGCAACAAAAGCAATATCATAACAAAAATACTAATTTTAATTTCAAATTGCGTAGTACGTATGCACTTATCATATAGTACGCGTAATAATAACAGCATTCGCGGCTATTATTAAACGTACTCGGCACTACACCAAACCATTGAGAAAGCACGGCGCACACCAAAAGCCTTGAAATTCATGATATACCCTCCCTTGCCCCCATTATCCCCAAATCCCAAATTGAAAAATCTTCTCTTGAAATCAAATCAGATCCTTGTTGCTGCCGAAATTGCACGGCACTGATTTAAGTAACTTCATCGCGAGAACCGGCCCATCTGACATTGCGGAATATAATTGACGTATCGTGAAGTAGAAGGCTTGGTCATCGCACGAGTGATACCGCTCCTCCGTGCGGCACTCTACATCGACTCACCTCCCAGAAGGTCTCCGGGTAAGTACGAGTTCAGAGAACTGGGCGTAGCACGTTGTTGATCGTTGCTGTCAATACCGGTGTTGCTCCAAAGAGAATTACTGCTCGGTGGAGCACCCCATAGTTGGCTGGAACTACCGCCCCAAGTGTCTGGTGGTGGACCAGTTTTGTTTGATGGTCGCAAGCCCCATCCTGCCCCGGTGGTTGCTCCAGCTTGCTGTTGGCCTCCATGACTAAGTTGTTGTAACAAACTGTGTACCTCGGTATCGGCTGGAGATTCTGCGAAAATTGTTGTGTTGCCCAGGACGCAATTGTTCAGAGCACCTTGTGCCTGAAAAAATCATCAAATATTTATATTATTAATACTTTACAAAATAATATCTATATACATAAATTTACTATATACTATTCTAATTGTGTACACAAAAATGCAATAAATGCTTTTTTTTAATCCAAAGAATCATTACGTTACAATTTTATTTGATTTTATTCTGTTCTTATATTAAAGATATTTAAGTATGATATAGAAATATTCCATTATTAGCATCATACGAAATTATTAACTGTTCCAAGAAGTTCGTGCGATTTTTCACGTGCAATTTTTCTTTATTACTTTTATATACTCGCAGGATTAGACAGTTTTTAAATATATTCGTTAATCTAAAAACGTCTATTCGTAAAACATTACATTCTAATCAATTATTCATATTTAGATAGTTGTTATCTGTATTTCTTATTACAATGACCAAATTCCTAAATGAATTTAGATTGTGAAAGAAACTGCTATTTAATATAATCCATTGAAATTATTTCTTAACCAAATCTAATAGTATGCAATTATTTTTTAACAAATTTAACGAGGAACATTGAAGTTACATCAATGTTGAGAGGTAGAATACAATGATTTCCATATGTTCATATATACTATCAAAAAATTAATTTGTTTTCTATTAACTTGATTTATATCACATAAAAAATATTATTGTGTCAACTATGATCTCATTACAAAAGAAAACATACAATACAAATGCGATTGAAAAATTTCTAAATGTATTAAAAATTAATGAACTATTAATTTAATGGGACATTGATGGAACAAAGGTAAAGTCATCATGCAATCAAATGTTTACAAAAAAAGAGTACATATCCACTTAGTGAAAATTGAAGGTAATGAAAATATACAAAAAATGTCTAAAATACATTTAACATTTAAAATTCCATTCATATAAAAAAATTAAATAAAAACTTTTATACAACTTTCTACTTCAAGGAAATAAATTTGTTTAAAAATAGAATAAATAAACGTATCTTAATGTAATATATTAATGTAATAATGATTACTTAAACGAATAAAATCAATAAAAAACGTACGAACTTTCTGGGACACCTAACACTAATGTGGTCAAAGTGCATTGAAATTTTAAACCTTAATTGAAAAAACATATATAGTGAATCATATATATGAATTAAGACACTAGTAAAAACTAAAAAAGAAAAATATAGTCAACTAATTATTGGGTAGTTAACCCAAGCCTAACCTTTTGCAGTCTAAATTATTTGGGTTAATATAGTCAATTTGACTTATCCTTTAATTGTTCATATTTCTTTATTTCATGAATATTTTCCATTAATTAATGATGTAAGACTGCTAAAGATTAATGAAATTAATGCAATAATAAAAGTATATAAAAGACACTAAACCTTAATAGCCTCATCTCTTGATGAATATTTGGTTAAAGCAATTCCATGATTAAGGTATAATCGGAAGTCTTGAACAGGACCGTGTTGCATGCAGAGGGTTTTCAAAGTAGAACCATCGATTTGAGGCGTCAGATTCTTAAGTAGTAACCAGGTAGAAACCCAGGCAGCATTTGTGCTTGATTGAAAGCCCCATGAACTGGATCTGCTGATGGTACCAAAACCTGCCCAGCCATTGCTTGTATTTCCCGTGGCTTTACTGCTTAAGCCTGGTGGAGGACCACGAACCTTACTCATTGGTGCTCCCCAAAGCTCTGAAGTAACCGCAGTCGGCGGTGGTGCAGATTCACCCCAAGTATTCTTTGAGCTGAAAATTATATTTTATGTAACTATAGTAATGTAGTTAGAGGAAAATATATCCACGTGAACTTTATAAAATTACTGACTATTTGTAATCAAAATAATTCAGTTGTAATAAGCCGAAAAATAAGCACTAACAATTTAATATATTTTAATTAAACTTAATTATTATGCACTGCTTGTTTCACTACCACATCATGTATCATTTTCATCAAATTTATGATGACGAGATTTAAAAAAATAGCACGTTCAAATATAATTTAGTATTATGTACTACTAGAGATTTATGCCCTTATCATATTTACAAATCAAAAGAATAGAAAAATAGCCAATAAAACATCTTTTATCATTATGACTCAAGAAATGGATAAAAAATACTGAAAACATATTTTGTAATTATAAATATAAAATAACGAATCACAAATTATAAATAAAAATAGCAAAATCACATACTTCGTATTATTTAAAAATGAGAAGTTATTAACCCTTCTAAATAAATATACTATTTTGATATATAAAGAAACACTAAAAAATATGAATTGTATTTATATACTATTTTTGTAAATAAAAATAAGCGCATGTGCAAATATTTTTCCATTCATTTTTCTATGGATTATTTTCTTCCTTTTAATAACTGTTTAATAACAAAATTCCATCAAAGCTTATATAACACTTGTCCAATTTTATTCACAATACATAATGGCATAATTTGATTGTATTATTAATGTAAGCTAATAAAAGCAAAAAATATATATGGAAAATAAAATACCAAAATTATTTTAATAATTGAAATTAGTAACATTACCTAGTAAATGCGTTTGGAGTAGTGACAGGTGGATTGAACGTCCATGTAGAATTACTCAAACTTGGTATTGATGTATCAGGATTGGTAGGTTGCTGTGGTGGTGGCGAAGTTTTACTACTTGAAGAGAAAATGGCATCTGGATCTTTGATCGTTGCTAAAGAAAGCGGTGATCGAACGATAGAACCCGGAGTAATGCTTGGATCATCCTCGATGCTCTTCATCTGGGTACCCTAAAATGAAATTAAATATAGGTGGACCCGAATAAGTGTCACCTTTAAGAATTGTTCACTTTCCTTTTGATTATACAGAATTTAAATTACTAAGTTGGAATTTGAATTAAGAAATTTACCTAATAGTTTGTATTATAACTTATAATGAATACAATTTTGGAAAAAAAAAGAAAAAAGTATTCTATTAAAAATTTATTCTATTAAATTTTACTAGAAACTTACAATTTTTCTAATCGGTATTCAATTTTTTATATTTAAAATGTCCAGTAAAAACTTTAAGCTTGAGATGCAAGTCCGCTTATAAAATAGTTAATGTTGTATATGTTTGTTATCATTAGAAAGCAACAGAAAACAACATAAAATTATTGATCAAATGTACGACAAAAGATATGACACTTTAGTTTTACTTGGGAAACAAAATGCAGATAAAAAAAAAAAATTAAATTACAAGTTAATACTTATGATTTGACATGTCTTTAAAATTATGTGAAACAATAATTACAATTGTACATCGTGAATTGACAATCAAATTAAAACTTTGCTATAAACTGAACAAACTACAACAAATGTCTTCCATCTGACATACAATAAGGAAAATGAAAAGAAAAAGATATTACTATTACTTTTTCTAAATTCAGTTCTATGGATTCAGTACATGAAATACGATACGAATTATTTAATTAGAATGTTGAAAAAGTGTTATAATCACAAAAATTTGAAAATATAAGCTAGTTAACACTGAACACTTAAGATTTTATGTTTCATGAACCCGAGCTGTATTTACCCTTTTTGTTAGAAATCTGCCATAGTTATAATTGGGAAGGAAGTAAAAAGGTAAAGGACTTACCACGGAATGGAAAAAACAAGAATACCTTCTAATAAGAGAACTGTGAAAAAGAGAACAATGCTTATCCTAGAACTACTAATTGTAAGAAATATTTTGTGAAGCCATACATAATTTTCTACAAAATAATCATCAAAAGATTTCTCACAGTAATTCTTCAAAATGAATGACGTTAAAATCTTAGTATGTAAACAAATTTTAATTTCATATTGAATTCTGACGTAAAAATCGATTTAATATAACAAATTTAAAATAAATCCTGTTCCTTAGTATTGGAAAACTTTATTTACTTTATTTTTATCATTTTGATATTTACGTACTATATATATCTTATTATTCTTGTATTATGCAGAATGCCCTTCAACAGAATAAATTTAGAACAAATAAAACATATAAATTCTTTACGACAAATTAAAAAGCTCTTTACTTTTTTATAATTTAAGATTTCATTTTTTATTTTGGGATTTGATTACCAGTGCGCTCTGTTTAACCCCCCTCGACGCCAGGCACTGCGAGGCAAAAATTTCGTCATACAGCCAAACTTCATGACAGCAATTCTACGATTAACAAACAAATAACAACCTCATTCTCTATTAGTGTAAATGAAATAATACCTGAAGTGTTTCAATATTTTAATTTTAAATTGGTAAGTCACAAAATGATCTAGGTAAGTAATTTATGTTATTGTACATAAACGCATAATTCGTAATATTCACAAACAAGGTTTTAATATGCATTTATGGATTAACATAAGTGAGAAGTAAATCAAGATTCAAAAAATAACAAATGGGTGGTTTTTTATTTCTCAAATTCAATCTCAACCTATTTATGTTTTTTGTATAAATGTTCTCTCGTTTTTAAATCATTATAATAGTATTTTTATACATTATAACAAAAAATGTATTGCAAAGTACTGTGAAGCATATAATTAAATTACTATACATTAAAAACTAATGTTTCGAATTTTTATATTTTGTATTTTTAAGATAATGATTTAAATTACAGAACAATAAATATTTTTTAATTAATTTTAACGTTTTCATTTCTTACCTATTTATAGGTAAGAACAAAATATATATATATATATATGTATAATTCATATACGTTTCTATAATAAATATATTCACAAAATATTGTATTTTTGTAATTTCAAATACAATTATCACGAATCAGGTGTATTAGTCAATAATACTTTAAACTAATAATGTTATAAACAACCATTTTAAGGTGTGTATATACAAAAGTTTTTCTTCTCACTGGAAGTACGATATTGGAAATGGATTACCTTCCATGGCTTGCCAGGCTCAAATTCAGGTACAAGATCGGTGAAAGCAACAGCACCAGCAGCTGCACCAGTTGGCTGCCAATCCTTTCCATCAGTGGAATCCGTGTTACCTGGGTCTGGCCATCCACTCTCTCCAAATCTGGTAGACCATGTACCATCTCCTTGACCCAACAAAGGATTCATGTTAGGACTACTGTGTGATCGTGTTAAACCAGCCGGTGTAGCTGCTGGCTTACTGGTTGTTCCTGGTGCTCTTGAGAACTCATTCGTAACTAACTCTCCATCCTTATCCAAAGAAGGTAACTTCCACTGGTTCAGTCTTGACTGTTGCTGACTCTATAATAAACAGAAGTAATTTTAATATCAGTAAACCAGTGCAATAACAATGGCAAATTTAATTCAATGCAGATAATATACATTAAGTTAAATCTCATAGTATTAAGCTTATAGTTTTCCTTATTAGTTTTCTACTTTTGAAAAACGCCTTTCACAATATCGTTAGTATAAGTAAAAATTTAAAAAACTGTTGTAAAAACAATTCAAAAGACGATTGTAATATATAATCTCAACAAACTATTGAAAAATGTTTAATACTATAAGATTAATTTAGAAGCATAATATTATAAGTTATACCCATTTTTTATTATACTACTAATATATTAGTTTTTTTAATACCATCATTCTGTTTATCATATTTTATTGTTTTAATAAAAATAACTAAATCCTCTATTATTATTAAATATATTAAAAGCCTAATATTGAAAATGCAATTCAATTGTAGTATTGTATTATCTCATTTATTTTGTATAAGAATTAATTAAAAACAATGTATATAAGTCTTAATTTTGTATGTAAAGTTCATATTCTATAAAAGAAGAATAAAAAATGTACTTACAACAGGAGGTACCTTATTCATGCTCAAATCTGTGAAGCTGTTTTGCAACGCTGACATAGGGTCATGTACTGAGCTCTTATAATATTCTGAGCTTTGAGATGGTGGCACAGGATGTTGCTGCTGTTGCTGCTGCTGCTGCTGCTGCTGCTGCTGCTGTTGTTGTTGCTGTTGTTGCTGCTTCATATAAGTAGCTTGTTGCACAGCAATTTGATTTTGAAGATTTGTTATTTGCTGTTTTGTTTTCGTAATTTGTACACTGATCTGAAGAACAGATTGGCCATTACCCTTCATTGTACTTTGTACAGAATGTTGTTCGTGAAGTTGTTGCAGAACTTTGATTTGTTGTAATAGTTGATTCAAAAATATTAGAGTTTGAGGTGCAAGTGGTTGATTTAAAATTTGATGGTTTAAGTAACCTTCCTGGACGGCTAGCTGAATCTGTTGTACTAACATACGTAGTTGTTGAGTACTAGGTTGATTCTGAGGAGCTCTGGAAGCCTAGAATTTAAAGAAAATATTTTCTATATGTTAAGAATATAAATTTTTATACATTTAGAAAAAGTTAACACATTTACGAAATTATTTCATTACCTTAATAAAAGCAAATTCTTTCGAAAAATAACTTTTAGGAGGTTTTATTTATAATTAAAAATCGAAGTTCTTTAAATTCTTTTCCGAATATTTGTTTAGAAAAAATATAGAAAAGACGAAATTTATTTAAATATTGTATTAATATATTATTTCTAGTCATATTTACCTGATTGAAAGGTGGTTGAGGTGCATTACTACTAGGTTGTTGTTGCTGCAATGGAACTGCAGTTTGTTGTTGCTGTTGCTGTAACTTCAGCAAACTTGCACTAGCAACCGATCCTCCCACACTACCAGTTGCATTTCCACTTGGCACTCCAGCACCCTATAATTAACAATTAATCCATAATTAATATTTAATTAATAATGTAAGTAATAATTAATATAAGTAATTCTAAATTTCAATACATAAATCTTTCATTGTATCAATAAAAGTAATTTTCAAATATAAAAAGATTTTAAAATTAAATCCTTTCTAGAATTCATGAAATAATATAAATGAAATTTGCAAATAAAATTATAGAATTTCAATTTTTGAAGAAATGTTAAATTTTTAACATTGAAAATATCAACTTCCAAGATCTGAATATCTGCAGGATAAATCAATTCTTTCATATTAATATATTACATACTGATAATTGGAATTTTATATATACAGAATTATCAAATAATAGTAGCATTTGTTACCGGAGGAAAAGACATTTGCTGTGCGACGTGATTAAATCTAGGATATGCTGGCGCAGTTGTAGCTTGATTTGTCGGATCATAAGTGGAGTGTGCGTCATGTCTTCTCCATTGGTCTAAAGGCCGCACTTGACTTAGAAGTTCCAAAGCTTCCTCTCTATTCATTTCGCGATTTCTCAATGCCAATTCAACATCTTCTTTCTATAAGTAAGAACAGAATCACCAAATTCATTAATTCAAGACCATATTATATATACATAAATAAGAATTTAAAAAATAAAACATTTTCACCTAATATTTCTACGTTTCCGCACCTATATATATTTCATAATACCTGCATAAATTACACATTTTGATAATTACATAATTCTAGTAGTGTATAATTCTTATAAAAAATATTTTTCAGTAGTTCTGGCTAATCAAAATTGTAGTTTCTAAACTTTTTGAATTAATATTTTGTCTTATAAATAATACGTGATACAATATTTATGGAAGTTAATCACAAGATTACTTAATAGAATGAACCAAGAAATAAGCTACGAACATATTTATAATATATAACACACAATAAAAGTATTAAATTTAATCATATAATAAACTCACTTATACAATTTAAAGAACTGTTGTGTACCTTAAATCCCAAGTCACAGAGATATCGAAATTCCCTGCTATTCCATATAACTTCTTTTGTAAGAGTAGGTTTTGTGGGATGACCCCAACTAGGAGTAGGATCCATATCAGTATCACCCCAGCTTCCAGTGGGTCCCATTGGTTTAGCTTTGTGCGCACTAGGTCCACCCCAAGTGCCAGGATTTAATTGAGCTTCGTTCCAGGTACTTGGCGTTTTTGGATCATCCCATGAACCTGTATCATGTGGTCCTTCAGCCCAACTGCCATTTCGTCCGCCAGGAGCACCAGGATGTCCCCACATTGGTCCGCTAACATCTGGTTTCATTCCAGGTTGACCTGGCATTCTATTCTGTGGCATACCAGGAGGGCACTGCATTCCTATAATAACAATTCCAAAAATGATAAATTTTATATTAAATTCTTTCAACTATATATATAAAAATTGTATAAAAATTTCAGTTATAGATATTTATAATATTCCAAACTTTTCAGTATCACTAAATGTGTAATTATTGCAATAAATTATCAATTATTAAACACAAAATGATAAAAAGTCCCCAGCTATAAAAAAAAATTGAGAAGATATGGTCAATATAGAAAATGGATAATACTAAACAAACCTCCTCTGCCTAAATTTGGTGTTGGAAGGTCCTTCCAATGAGAAACCTTACTAGCAGGTATGGTCCTTTGATTTGCTGCAGGATTTCCCCATAAACTTGTGCCGTCATCATAATTTGGAACATTTCTCCTTTGTGTTGGTGGAGAAGGTTCTTCCCAACCTGATGGTTTTCCTGGCATAATATCCTTTGGTGGTGGTGCAGCCCATTGATTTATGTTGGAAGGATTCAACATCTTTGTTGGAGGACCGGAAGGATGTTGATGTCCCATTTGATGATGTGGAGGACCTGGTGGTTGACCCCACATAGCATCAGCATTGGTGCCATTTAACCTTCCAGAAATTCCGCGAGGATCCCGCATGTCTGCCATTCTAGGGTCTCGAGCCATTGGATCCATTACACGTATGTGTTCCCGAGGGTCCAAAGACATTCTGTGGTCACGAGGATCTCGCATTTCTCTGGGATCAACAGAACGAAGATCACGAGGATCTCGACGATCAATTCTTGGATCACCCCAGTTGGATCCTATGAAAAACATCATTTATATTTTATTCCAAAATGACATGTCAATAACATAAATAAATTATAATAATAAAATAATAAAAATAATAAATTATTTGCTGTTTTGTTTTCGTAATTTGTACACTGATCTGAAGAACAGATTGGCCATTACCCTTCATTGTACTTTGTACAGAATGTTGTTCGTGAAGTTGTTGCAGAACTTTGATTTGTTGTAATAGTTGATTCAAAAATATTAGAGTTTGAGGTGCAAGTGGTTGATTTAAAATTTGATGGTTTAAGTAACCTTCCTGGACGGCTAGCTGAATCTGTTGTACTAACATACGTAGTTGTTGAGTACTAGGTTGATTCTGAGGAGCTCTGGAAGCCTAGAATTTAAAGAAAATATTTTCTATATGTTAAGAATATAAATTTTTATACATTTAGAAAAAGTTAACACATTTACGAAATTATTTCATTACCTTAATAAAAGCAAATTCTTTCGAAAAATAACTTTTAGGAGGTTTTATTTATAATTAAAAATCGAAGTTCTTTAAATTCTTTTCCGAATATTTGTTTAGAAAAAATATAGAAAAGACGAAATTTATTTAAATATTGTATTAATATATTATTTCTAGTCATATTTACCTGATTGAAAGGTGGTTGAGGTGCATTACTACTAGGTTGTTGTTGCTGCAATGGAACTGCAGTTTGTTGTTGCTGTTGCTGTAACTTCAGCAAACTTGCACTAGCAACCGATCCTCCCACACTACCAGTTGCATTTCCACTTGGCACTCCAGCACCCTATAATTAACAATTAATCCATAATTAATATTTAATTAATAATGTAAGTAATAATTAATATAAGTAATTCTAAATTTCAATACATAAATCTTTCATTGTATCAATAAAAGTAATTTTCAAATCTAAAAAGATTTTAAAATTAAATCCTTTCTAGAATTCATGAAATAATATAAATGAAATTTGCAAATAAAATTATAGAATTTCAATTTTTGAAGAAATGTTAAATTTTTAACATTGAAAATATCAACTTCCAAGATCTGAATATCTGCAGGATAAATCAATTCTTTCATATTAATATATTACATACTGATAATTGGAATTTTATATATACAGAATTATCAAATAATAGTAGCATTTGTTACCGGAGGAAAAGACATTTGCTGTGCGACGTGATTAAATCTAGGATATGCTGGCGCAGTTGTAGCTTGATTTGTCGGATCATAAGTGGAGTGTGCGTCATGTCTTCTCCATTGGTCTAAAGGCCGCACTTGACTTAGAAGTTCCAAAGCTTCCTCTCTATTCATTTCGCGATTTCTCAATGCCAATTCAACATCTTCTTTCTATAAGTAAGAACAGAATCACCAAATTCATTAATTCAAGACCATATTATATATACATAAATAAGAATTTAAAAAATAAAACATTTTCACCTAATATTTCTACGTTTCCGCACCTATATATATTTCATAATACCTGCATAAATTACACATTTTGATAATTACATAATTCTAGTAGTGTATAATTCTTATAAAAAATATTTTTCAGTAGTTCTGGCTAATCAAAATTGTAGTTTCTAAACTTTTTGAATTAATATTTTGTCTTATAAATAATACGTGATACAATATTTATGGAAGTTAATCACAAGATTACTTAATAGAATGAACCAAGAAATAAGCTACGAACATATTTATAATATATAACACACAATAAAAGTATTAAATTTAATCATATAATAAACTCACTTATACAATTTAAAGAACTGTTGTGTACCTTAAATCCCAAGTCACAGAGATATCGAAATTCCCTGCTATTCCATATAACTTCTTTTGTAAGAGTAGGTTTTGTGGGATGACCCCAACTAGGAGTAGGATCCATATCAGTATCACCCCAGCTTCCAGTGGGTCCCATTGGTTTAGCTTTGTGCGCACTAGGTCCACCCCAAGTGCCAGGATTTAATTGAGCTTCGTTCCAGGTACTTGGCGTTTTTGGATCATCCCATGAACCTGTATCATGTGGTCCTTCAGCCCAACTGCCATTTCGTCCGCCAGGAGCACCAGGATGTCCCCACATTGGTCCGCTAACATCTGGTTTCATTCCAGGTTGACCTGGCATTCTATTCTGTGGCATACCAGGAGGGCACTGCATTCCTATAATAACAATTCCAAAAATGATAAATTTTATATTAAATTCTTTCAACTATATATATAAAAATTGTATAAAAATTTCAGTTATAGATATTTATAATATTCCAAACTTTTCAGTATCACTAAATGTGTAATTATTGCAATAAATTATCAATTATTAAACACAAAATGATAAAAAGTCCCCAGCTATAAAAAAAAATTGAGAAGATATGGTCAATATAGAAAATGGATAATACTAAACAAACCTCCTCTGCCTAAATTTGGTGTTGGAAGGTCCTTCCAATGAGAAACCTTACTAGCAGGTATGGTCCTTTGATTTGCTGCAGGATTTCCCCATAAACTTGTGCCGTCATCATAATTTGGAACATTTCTCCTTTGTGTTGGTGGAGAAGGTTCTTCCCAACCTGATGGTTTTCCTGGCATAATATCCTTTGGTGGTGGTGCAGCCCATTGATTTATGTTGGAAGGATTCAACATCTTTGTTGGAGGACCGGAAGGATGTTGATGTCCCATTTGATGATGTGGAGGACCTGGTGGTTGACCCCACATAGCATCAGCATTGGTGCCATTTAACCTTCCAGAAATTCCGCGAGGATCCCGCATGTCTGCCATTCTAGGGTCTCGAGCCATTGGATCCATTACACGTATGTGTTCCCGAGGGTCCAAAGACATTCTGTGGTCACGAGGATCTCGCATTTCTCTGGGATCAACAGAACGAAGATCACGAGGATCTCGACGATCAATTCTTGGATCACCCCAGTTGGATCCTATGAAAAACATCATTTATATTTTATTCCAAAATGACATGTCAATAACATAAATAAATTATAATAATAAAATAATAAAAATAATAA